TACATCTGAGATCATGTTTTAATAGCCCAGGCTAACCTCAAACTCTTGAGTATCATGTTTCAGTTCTTGGATTAGAAGCACAAGCCACCATGCCCAGTTTTTTTTCTTTCATATATAAGTCTGAAATTTGTTTTCGTTTACTTTTTTGAGATTAGGATCTCACTATAGAGACCTGACTATTTTGGCTTTGCACTTTTGCCTCTCCATCCCCTGATTCCCAAGGGCAAAGGCTGGAATTATAGGTGTGTACAACATGTTTGTTTCTGAAGATGGAATCCAGGCTTCCTGCATGCCAGGCGGGCACTCTACCAACTGAACCATACCCCAGGCTTCATCCTTTATTCTTTGCCTCCTGCTTCTTCCTTAATTTCTTCTTCTCACTGGCCTTTGTCATTTCCATATCAAAAAATGCATTTCTCTCACCATGATGGTCATAGGCCACACAGTTTTGGTAATAGTTAACAGGTGGTTCTTGTCAGGTCATAACTCTCTCTCCACGCCCCAGCTGGCACTCATTCAGAAGGTCAGGAAAGTTTGTGTGTGTGTCTTTATTTTTTGAATTTTTCATATTAGTGTATTTAGCCTCACAATACCTACCTCCCCAGTTGGTAGGTTGTAGACATTAAGTCACAAAGAAGTCCAGTGACCCAAGTGACATGCTTTGAATCAACGGGCAATTGAACATCTGCTGTATGAGGCACAGTCCTGAACACCTTGTGTATATAAGCTCATTTATGTTTTTTTTTCCCTTTGAGACAGGGTCTTTCTGTGTAGCCCCAGCTTCCCTGGAACATGTAGACCAGGCTGGCCTCGAACTCACAGAGATCTGCCTGCCTCTGCGTCTCAAGTGCTAGGATTCAAGGCATATGCCACCAACCTCCCAGCTCATTTAATTCTTACTACAGCCCTGAAAGGTAGGTGTTATTACTCCTGTTTTTATAGGTGGTGATCTGACATTCACTGTGCTTAGTTAACCTGTCCAAAACCACCCAGTTAGGGAGAAGTAGATCCTGGATTTGGATATGGGTTCAGAGCCTATTAACATTTAGACTATTTATTTGTTTTCATTTTGTGTGTATAAGGGCTTCCTTGAATGTATGTCTATGCATCACATGTGTTTGTGGTGCCTGTGGAGGCTAGAATCAGGTGTTAGATCCTCTGGAACTAGAGTAACAGATGATTGTAAGCTAACATGTGGGTGTTGGGAATCAAACTCGGGTTCTCTGCAAGAGCAACAAGTGCTCTTAACCACTGGGCCATCTTTCCTGCCCCTATTAAAACTTTAAAAAATCAGCTTACAAACCAGTGGGTTCCCTGTGGGATTTTCATACATCCTTAGTTTCTTTATTTCCCTTCATCCTGTCCCTGCTTAAACCCTCCCACCTTCAGTATTTTTCGTCTG